ACGAGAGAGGTACCAGAGCCATTCCCAGCTACAGGAATGCCAGGGTCCTTTGGAACGGGGTTAACTTGTTCTGGGCGCCAGAAGACCTCACCGGTCAGACCCCCAAACAGACCCGAGCTGGCCGACTTTCAGAGACAGCAGACACCGGGCACTACAGAGCCCTCATGGGAAGAGTCTTGAACCAAGACCCAGGGGCAATGGAAAATGAAATAACAAAGCACTACCATCATAAATGGACAGAGTGCAATGGATTCGAATCACGGCTCTGCCACATTAATAGTGACGTTAGCTTAGGTAATGACTTAACCAAACTTGTTTTCTTCATCTGGGAACACAGCCCAGCAGAAGCCAGGAAGTGAGTGAGACAGTCAGATCCAGAAAACTTCCCAGGGGACCAACGCACACTCAGAATGCTATTTCAGCCATCGAGTGTTCTAGAGCACACCACCCCATACTCAGGACTCAGAGGAAAGGCTCTGTTGTTCTGGCTTTGGTATCTTTAAGGCCCTCCCACTCTGACATTCAGTGGCTTGTGACCTACTGACCTGTCTGGGACATTAGGTCCCTGTGACCCAGGTGCTTTGTTGACCAGCCCCAGAGCACCCTCCGCACTAGGAGACCAGGTCCTGGCTGCCAGGAAATAGAGCTAGAAAATGTTGAAAGCCAGCCCTTAAGAGTAGTTAGAACAAAGACATATTTCAAAAACATATCCTGCATGGGCATGGAATATTAATCATGTATTACTAGAAGTAATAAAATAAGAAATTCAGGAATGGCTCAGTAGAGATGGCCAAGGTATAACAGAAACATTCTTGGGGCTCCTGGTGGCTCAGTCGGTTAAGCATCCAACATCAGTTCGGGTCATGATCTCACGGTTCGTGGGTTGGAGCCCCACGTCCAGCTGTGTGCTGACCGCTCAGAGCCTGGAGCCCGCTTCAGATTCTGTGTCTCCCTCTCTCTCTGCCCCTTCCCGACTCATGCTCTGTCTCCCTCTCTCTCTCTTTCAAAAATGAATAAACATCTAAAAAATAAAAAAAATTTTTTAATGGAACTCTACAAACTTGACTCAGTACCTCTCCTGCCATTTGAATCCTGCAAGTTTTGGGGTAGTTGTGAGGATTCAGTGCACTAAAGGTGTAGAAAATCACTCAGCGCGCGTTACTTGCCTTGGCCCATGTTCTATTACTGAAATAGACATAAAAGGCTGTGGGCCAACAATCAGAATGTGTTAGGAACCAAAGACTGATTAGTCCAATTCTATGTGACTGAGGTTCCCCCACGACCTCCTCCAAAAAGCACTTAGCAAAATGTCCAACACATACTAGGTACTGGTCATCAGACATCAGTACTTCCTTCTCTCTTTCACAGCGTAATTGTTCTGTCTCTGAGTCTGGCCTCTGATCAGTACAAGGTGTAGCCTGGTGGAGGAAGATCCCGCCTTCGCACACTAAGGATGCACATTTTATATTCCTGTAATGCCCTGTCACAAACGTGACACCCAGGAATGTATCTAAAATCATTTCCAAGCTATTTCTACCAGGGGAGGACACCCTACCGTCAGAGACAGAGAAAAATCTCATCTTGACACCTCTTGTCACACAGGCCAGGGACAGACTAAGACGAATCCGAGCCGAAACACACAGAACCAAAATTCCTCTATAATGCAGACCCCCTCCCAGTAGCAGTAGGAAGGACTTCTCGCAGCATTTTGGAAAAGAGGGAGGAGGCACTCAAATGCATCCTCACTGAAGTCAGAGTTCAGGCCTAGCGTTTTGTGGGATCCCGAGAATCAGGTGCAAGACTGTGCCACAGGAAAAAAGCGAGGGCCTAGATTGGCGTGAAAATAACCTCCCAAGACAACAGCAACTGGTCTCAGCATGGAAAAGGGGGTGACGATGGGGTGATGGTCTCTCTAAGGTGTCAGTGTTGGGGACGGGGTGGGTGGGCTGAAGGACAGGTCCAAAAGGAAAGCCCTGGAGGGTGTCTCCTGTGAGGACGTTCACGGTCCAACCGCCCAACACCCTGACCCACAGAGCTGGTCCACCAAACACCAGGGCTGGCTGGAACCTCGGAAATCTTGTGGCTACGTCCGTAGACTAGTAAACTGGGGCCAAGAAAGGAGAGGGTACTTCGTCCTCGACCTCAGACAGCTCCCCTTGGCCGCTGCGGCCTCAAGCGTCCCGGTCGTCACCCCTCCCCTCAGGCTGAGTCTCCCCAATTCCGGGACATCCTCCGAGAGGGCCGTCCTTACCGGCCCCGGCCCCCCTGCCACGGGCACGCGCGGAGACCTTGCGGCCCAGGGCGGCGGCGTCGCGGCGGCCCTGGCAGGCGGCGCCACTAGCCCCGTACGGGACCCGCCCCGCGGCCCAGAGCCCGCTCTTCATTGGCCAGCCCAGGAAGCTCCGCCCCCGGTCCGCGCGGGCGGCTAGTCCCCGCGGGCTGGGAGCCCGTTCCCCACCGGCCGGCCCAGGAGGTCCCGCCCCCCGCGGCGGAAGCCCCGTCTACGCGGGTACCGGGGTCTCGTGCGCGAATGCAGGCCCAGGCCCGGCCCTTCGGGAGCTGCTCGCCAGCCGGGCGGACAGACTGCGCCGTAGGGCCGACTCCCGGAAAGCAGAAAGCAGGTCATGCGCACGCACTCATTGAGTCCAACATATTTATTGAGCACCCATGAAGGCAAAGGGCCGCCACCGTCACAGTTCTGAAGGGCCTTTAAGCGCCAGGACCCCACCCTTCCTTGTTTACAAAGGAGGAAGCCGAGACCCAGAGCTAGGAGTGAGTCTAAGAGCCAAACCAAGTGCTAGTCTCCAGGACTCTGGAGCACCCCTCTGCTTCTGCACCACGCAGCATCCGTTGATTCATTTGGTGTAAAGAATGCTCCTTGAACACCGATTGAGTGCCAGGCAAACTCCCAAGGCCTTAGCTTTGGAAAAAGGGGGAGCCTGTGCCCTGCGATCACCCCGATCACCCCGGGTTCGCGCGATCACTGGAGTCCCAATATTCACAGGGCATTTAGCATTAGAAAGGCCCAGGAACTCGGAGCCCTGAGGCATCCCCAGGAAACACCGGAGACCAGCTCTGAGCGCTAAGGGGCAGGCTCAGTGCAGCTACCTTTACACCATATCCTGTCAGAGCCCAGTCCTGACTGGTGAGGCCCCTGGAGAGGGTTGGGAGTGTCAGAGCAGAGAAGCAAGAATGCACAGTAGGGAAGGGTGGCACCCCTTCTTCCAAAGCCCAGGGGAGTGTGGCTGAGCTCGTACAGACTTGTTTACTCGTTCTTGCCCCAAAGGTTATGGCAATGTTCCCATCTGCCCCCAGCTCCGTTCATGATTTGGGGAGAGGCGTGAGGGCAGAGGGGGCCACAAGAAGTGGCCCAGCCAGGGACCCAGGCACCGGGAAGCAGGCCTGAATGCCGGCCATTTCACACAGTGTCAGAAAAATAAGACCGCAGTCAAAACAGCTAAGGACCCATTACTCCAGTTTGAAAATCACCCAAACCAAGAGCTAGTCTCTAGGTAGCACCCACGGTGGTGTTACTTAAGAGGCACAAGATGCTAGCTGCCCTCGATGTTTCCAGGAGACCTGACGCTGTTCCAACTTCCACGGCTTGAACCTCCTTGCTTGAACCTCCTTGCTGTCGTAAGAATTTGTTCCGCTGAAATACAAAGGGCTCCTAGGGGATGTAGCCGATGGGAATGTCTCACCTCACTCTGCACCCAAAGGACCTTCCACTCACTCCAGAAAATAAAGGTCCTTTCTGAGGGATTCTGGCTGGGGGGGGGGGGGGGGGGGGGGGGAAGGGCAGGAATGGGACAGAGAGGGGGCCCTGAACTTGCAGGATCAAACCACACTCCCCGTTTGCCCCACTGCCTCTAAATCTCTTATGACCCTGAAAACCCTAAGGTGAGGTAGGATGCGCTGGGGTCATTACCCCCTTTGACAAGTGAGGAACCTGAAATGGAAGTGGTTAAGAAAAATTCACCCGGATCTGGCCTTTCTCTGCTACCGGCCCCAAGTTCTTGGAAACAGACCCCTCTTTTAAGGTGGCAAGTCAGGCCCGGCAGCCCAGAAGTCCAGGCTGACTGGCCAGCCTCACCCACACCAGGATCTTCCTGGTGGGGAAGAGCCTCGTATGGCTGGGTCTGCATCTCTCCCTTCAAAGCAGCTACCCCCCTCCCAGCGAGGAGCGTGCATACCCATTAACACTGAGACCTTGGAGGAGGCGTCATCCACTCTCAACTTGTTTCCCGCTCTCAACTAATAACCAAAGTCAATCATGGATGTTGGAATACGGGACTCACACACCTGGGAAGGCACCTGGTCTCCAGGGCAGCAGCCAAGGAATCCCTGTCAACACCCTGGCTGATGTGGAGAGCCCCCCTGCTGTCCCCACACGCAAGGTGGCAGGGAAATTCCTGCCCCTGGGGGCTCCTGGTCCCCTTTGCAACCACACACGATACTTACAAAAGCATCAGAAAAGCTCCATAAGGAGGGGGGTTGGGGAAGGTTTCAAATAACAAAAGTAGGAAATTCAAATTTCCAGTGCCCACCCTTCAAACTGTCCACTCTGCTGTGACCTCTGTGTACAATAACAAAACTGCAGGCCCTCGGTGTCTCCGTCGCTCCCTACCTGCAAGGGCCACTGTCTCCAGTCCCCCCGCCCGCCTCCCGTACCTGCCAAAGGCTCTCACCGAAACTGGGCATCCTCTAAACCTCCGAGGATCCTTTCTAAGTCAGGAATGTAGAAAAGGCAGCAAAGAATGACAAACTTAGGAAACTTAGGAAATTCAGGCATCTGGCCACACACAGTCACTAAAAAGGCCACCGCTTCCCATCTGAATGAAAAACGAAAACAAACAAAAAACCTCTCCAAAGCTTCCCAGAATGAGGAACCGGCGTCAGGCACCAGGGGAAAGGCCTGAAGGTGGACAGCAGTCCCGCTGGGGGTGCCCAGGAGAGCAGAGGGCCCCCCCCTGCCCCCGCCCCGCCGGGCTCCTCCCGGGTCAGCCCTCCTCAGTGTGGCTGGGCCTGGGCCGGGGTGGACTCCCCGCGACGGCAGAGGGAGCGGGAAAGTGCGGGCCCGCCTGGCCCCGGGCGTGAGTCTGCATGTGGACAGACAGGTGGTGGTTGCGGTTGAAGGCCCGGCCACACTGAGGGCACTGGTAGGGCCGCTCGCCGGTGTGGATGCGCTGGTGGCGGAAGAGGTCGGACGGCCGGCGGAAGGCCTTGCCGCAGTAGGGACAGGCGGGCCAGCCCTGACTGTCGCCCGTGTGCAGGCGCTGGTGCAGCAGCAGGGTCTTCCGCTGCTGGAAGAAGCGCAGGCACTCACTGCAGTGATATACCTTGGTGGCCTCCGGCCTCCGTCCCATGAACGGACGGCCTGCCAGCGAGCGGCGCGCTCCGGGATCGTCAGGGAGCCAGCGGATGACGGGGCCCGGCACCACCACCTCCCCCGGCTCCAGTGTGGAGTGGTCCTCCCCCCAGCCGGTGGGCGAGCTCCCCGGGGCCTCCCGGTGCTCCTCCTCCACGTGGCTCCGCTGGTGAATGGTCAGGTTGATCTTCAGGCGGAAACTCTGCCCGCAGTCGGGGCAGGGGAAGGTCCGCTCGCGGCGTCGAGGGAGGATGCGGGGTGGCTCCCCGGCGGCCCCTGCGGGCCGCGGGTCCCCCGCCCGCACCCGCGGCACCCCGGAGGCATGAAGCCGCCCAGGGCCCCCAGTCCTGCTCCTGGGCCTTTTGGGCATTCGACACACGGTCTGGCTCCGGGACTCCCCCAGGAAGAGCTGCTCAGGCGTCATCTCGTCCTCAGACTGTGCTTCTGTCTTGATGACCACGCCGCCACCACCACCTGGACAGAGGAATCTCCACTGATTTCCAGTGGGCCACACTGGCCCCCACCCAGGCCACTCGACCCGGTGCTGCCTCCAGGCACATCTCTGGCCACATCTGCACCCATCCTGCACCTACTTGCGCAGAGTCCTTTCTCCTCCACGAGCTCACAGCACAGATCAGGGACTCTGTTCGCTTGGCCCTAGCAAGCAGGCATTGCCTCCTAACATCGTCCAGTCTGTTTACTGTCACGTAGCCCAGAGGCTCCGATGGCCCATCCTGGGAGGCCAAGCTAAGGACATCAGGAGAGAGGAGACAGAGCCGCAAAACCAGGACCCGGGAGGTCAGGCGGAATGAAAGACAATAGGTAGGTGGGGGCAGGGGAGACTGTGGACCCTGAGATACATTGGCCATGCAGGGTCCCCAAGAGTTCTGACAACTTTAGTTCCCGTCTACGAAGGACAGTGAACCCTGGGGCAGCCAGACTAAGTAAGAAGCCTCAGGCCTGAAAGTGGTGGATGTCGTAGCCACACCCTGAGCTACTTATCGACATAACAAATCTACACTGAGCAACCGCCACCTGCCTGCCACCCTGCTCTCTAGTGACAGGCAGGAGGCGCGAGGACCCACACTTCCTCAGTGTGGGTCACTCTGGACTCTGAGGCGGGACTGAGGCATAGGAACTGCCAGAACAGTGGAGAGAAGGGAGACCTGAAGCAGCACAGCGGTCGCAGCAACAGCCCTCAGGGGTCCCTGGTGCTGGGAAGGAAGGTTCCGGCCACAAGCCCTGCTGGAACGCTGCATTCTTCCAAATCCTTTACCTGCCGTTCCCTTCTGAGCTTCTCTGGAATCAGCCCCAACTAGTGGCTTCTCTGACCTCCCCCAGCACCCAGGAGCTCAGCTGAGGCTCAAAAGCTGACAGCGAACCTTACCCTGGGCCCTTTAAGACGAAACCTTTAGCCCTTTCCGAGAAACGTCCAAGGTCTAGGACAAGAGGGATTTCTATTCTTGCTGAAGCATGAACTGAAACCACACCCCGGCAGACTGCAGTGAACCCTTAACTGCAGAACCTCCTGATGTCAGGACCTTGCAGCTCCCTGCCTGATGCAGCTTCCTGGTGACCCGCACAGATAATTCCTGACAGAACTTTATTTCTGTACTAGAAATGGCCCAACTGGGGGTCTCAGGCCCTATTCCCTGTGAAGGCCAAGGGTCCCAGATCTCTTGGTTTGAAGCCCATCCCCAGCTTGGACTCCCACCATGCCACCACCCCGAGGTGGGCCCAAATCTCACCTCTGCTCCCACCAAAGCAGGTACCAGGGTGGAACCAGGTGAGAACCGGATCCCTTTCTATTAGGGCAGAAGACCACCCCAAAGCCAGAATGGGCAACAATTGCTCTCTTTTTTCCTGCTCATCAGGTTGTAAGCCTGGTTTTACGGACTCGAGGCCAGGGAACGAAATTTAAGTCACAGGCCACCACATACAAACTGGGAGACATTGGAAGCTGTGAGCCTGGACCACTTCCCAGGGCTGCTGGGAGGCCTTTCTGTTGCCAGGCCGCAGACTGGGTGCACACAGCTTGTTTTCAAGCAGCACCTTTCCACCAGGTCACATGTGATGGGGGGAAACCAGGACCTACGTGGTCTGGGTCGCCAGAGCCCCAGGGCACCAGTACCCGGGGATGAGGAAGGGACCCCTCAGGAGGAAGCCCCTCACCAGGTCCCACTTCGCCACCTTCCACCCCACTCCCAAGGGCCCCCAAGATCCTCCGAGGCTCTGCTGTGGCCACGGGGCCTCTCCCTTCACTCACCTGGCCCCCTGCTGGGCAGGCTGTCCCTGGGAGGGGAGGCTGGAGATTCCCCACCTGAAGATTCTTCCTCCTGTTTAACCGAGGCTGGTGGACCTGTGAGAGAGACTCCGTGAGGGCCTTTCCCAACAGCGGGCCCTTGATGGACAGCATAGGTATCTCTAAGCAGCCCCCAGACATGTTCGAACGCCTGCCAGGAAGAGGGGGCTCCTGGGCTCTGTCCGGAGGACTGCCCGACCCACTGGAGGACTGCCCACGGCACGGCCTCTGCGTCAGAGGTGAGAGGAGGGCCGAGAAGGCCATGGCCCCGGTTCCCGTCTGGGTCAATGCTGACAACTCCCTGTCACCCAGAGGGTGTGGGGAGGCCCCTGGAGCACAGTGCCAGGTCTGCAGGGGAACAAGGACAGTGAGAAGGTCCTCCCTCTCCTTACACACTGGCCGGGAAGGAGGGACTCGGGAGAGGGAGGGAGGGTCACCTCCAACCTCAGCGAGCTCATATTCACTGGGGGAGGGTCACAGAAATGACTGGAGAGAAGGTGACCCAGCCCGAAGAGTCAGGCCCCTGGAGGAGGAGGAGGAATGGGGGCGGGAGCTGGCGAAGCACAGTCTGGAGGCAGAGAACAAGGCTCTGGTATGCCACACGTTATGCTACATGCCTTCTGCGTGATACTCCATTTCTGGGAATGGATGGACAGAAATGTCCTTCAGACATAAGCAGGCAGAGATCACTGGAAGGGGGGACAGAAGGCACAGAGCCCCTCACGGGCTCCAGAAAGAGGACATCTACGGAGGAATGCCCATGCCAGGGCTGTTCCAGGCATAGGACACAGGTTGCCCAGTTCGTGTGCCCCATGTGCGAAGCCTGAGGAGGCCCAGCGCCTGCCCCCGTGTGCCCTTCCCCTCAGCCCAACCAGGCCTTAGGGACCCACGCCTTTGCTCAGACCATCTTCTGCTGAAAATGCCCTCGGTTCCCAGCCAAAATCTACTCTTCCTCTAAGGCCTGCCTCAGGGGTCCCCTTTCCAGGCAGCCCGGTCCCCGCCACCCCTCCCAGCCGCCAGCTTTAGCCCCCGTTCTCAGCACCGCCTGTCTGGGGCCGCCGTTGAGGTGGCGTCCGCACCCCTGCCCGGTGGCCCTCTCTCACCAGCGATGGTTCCGTCCAGGCTTCCCCTTGCTTCTGGGTCTTGCTGGTGCCTGGGGGCCCGCCCTTCTGTTGGCTCATCCTGGGCAGGGCTGACGGGGCTGAGAATGTGCTCTGGATGTGGAGGGAGGCCTGGAGAATGCAAATCAGGGATGCTAAGGACAACACAGGGATCCCCCACGTGGCAGGAGCCTCTGAGGAACGGCTACCCGCAGTCACTGGGACCGGGGGGCGTCGGGTCAAACCCAGGTTATGATCATGCAGTGGGCTCCACTGACCATTAGTGGCTAAAAGAGAAGGAAAAGGGACAGCACAGTAACTCGTGCAATAGTCCCAGACAGGTCACGACACAGCAGGGCCAACGATCTGGCTTTTGGAGACTCCCAGCTCAGAACGGTACTACAGTGGCTCCCAATCACAAGTCCTACACCAGGCTGATGTATAAGGATCCCCTTGGAAGCACCCCAAGATTCTCATCACCGTGACTTCTGGGTAGGCCTAGAAAGTATGCATTTTTAAAAAAAAGCTTCCGAGGGCAAAAGAGATGAACAAAGAGTTTATGGAATAAGAAATTTAAATGGCCCATGAAAACATAAAAAGATATTCGACCACACTCATAATGAGAGAGGTACCATTAAAAACACACTGTTGTGGGGCGCCTGGGTGGCGCAGTCGGTTAAGCGTCCGACTTCAGCCAGGTCACGATCTCGCGGTCCGGGAGTTCGAGCCCCGCGTCGGGCTCTGGGCTGATGGCTCAGAGCCTGGAGCCTGTTTCCGATTCTGTGTCTCCCTCTCTCTCTGCCCCTCCCCCGTTCATGCTCTGTCTCTCTCTGTCCTAGAAATGGATGAAGCGTTGAAAAAAAAAAAAATTAAAAAAAAAAAAACACCACACTGTTGTATGGGGCTCCTGGGTGGCTCAGTCGGTTGAGCTTCCAACCTTGGCTCAAGTCACGATCTCATGGTTTGTGAGTTCCAGCGGGGCTGGAGCCTGGAGGCTGCTTCAGATTCTGTGTCTCCCTCTCCCCCAACTCACGCTGCAGAAAGAGGGGCACTTGGGTAGCTTAGTCAGGTGAGCATATGACTCTGGAATTCGGCTCAAGTCATGATCTCACAGTTCGTGAGTTCAAGCTCCATGTGGGGATCTGCACTGACACCATGGAGCCTGCTTGGGATTCTCTCTTTCCCTCTCTCTGCCCCTCCCAGGCTCACTTGTGCTCTCTCAAAATACATACATACATACAATAAACATTAAAAAAAACACTGCGTTAAGAAATTAAACGCATACATAAATGTAAACATTTCATGTTCCTGGATGGGAAGACTTAATATTATGGCGTCAATACTACCAAACCGATCTATAGACTCAACACAATCTCTATTAAAGCCTCCATGATATTTTTTACAGAAATAGAAAACCCCATCACTTCTCAGCCTTTTGGCTAAGATCAAGTGTAGAAAGAGAAAAACCCACCCTAAAATTCATATGGAGTCTCAAGGGACCCCCAAATAGCAACAATAATATTGATAAGGAAGAACAAAGTTGAAAGACTTCTTGATTTCAAAACTTACCATGCAGCCTAAAGAAACAGAGAACCAAGACATAAACCTTCACATATCTGGTCCCAAGACCACTCAACGGGGAAAGGACTTTTCAACAAATAGTGCTGGGAAAATTGCACATCCACACGCAAAAGAATAAAGTTGGATCCTTACCTAACTCCATATACAAAAATTAACTCAAAATGGATCAAAGACCTAAATATAAGACCTAAAACACAAAAGTCTTAGAAGAAAACATAGGACAAAAGCTTCAGGACATTGGATTTGGCAATGATTTCTTGGACAGGACACCAAACGCACAGGTAACAAAAGAAAAAAAGAGACAAACAAGACTTCCTGCAAACTTTTAAAATATGTGCATCAAAACATACTATCAAGTTAAGAGGCAATCCCCAGAACAGGAGAAAGTATTTGCAAATCACATATCTGACAAGATATTAATATCTAGAATACATAGAGAGGTCCTAAAACTCAAAACAGATGGGGCACCTGGGTGGCTCAGTTGGCTGGGCATCCGACTTCGGCTCAGGTCATGATCTCACAGCTCGTGAGTTCAAGCTCCACATCAGGCTCTCTGCCGTCAGCATAGAGCCCGCTTGGGATCCTCTGTCCCCTCTCTGTGCCCCTCACCAACTGGTGTTCTCTCTCTCTCTCTCTCTCTCTCTCTCTCTCTCAAAGTAAATGAATAAACTTTAAAAAAAAAACTTTAAAAAAATCTCAATAACAGAAAAACAAACAACCTGACTCAAAAATGGGCAAAGGACTTGAATAGGCGTTTCCCCAAAGAAGATATACGAATGGCCAACAGGCACATGAAAAGATGCCTGGAATCACCCATCATCAGGGAAATGATGGCCACTATCAAAAAGAAACAACAGAAAATAGTAACTTGGTAGGAACATGGAAAAACTGGAACCTTGGCACACTGTAGGTGAGTGTATGGTACAGTCACTAAGGAAAACAGTGTGAGAGTCCTCAAAAAATTACAAATAGAATTACCATATGATCCAGCAATTCCATTTAGAAGTATACACCGAGGGGCGCCTGGGTGGCTCCGTCGGTTAAGTGTCCAGTTTCGGCTCAGGTCTGATCTCACGGTTTGTGGGTTCGAGACCCACGTCGCGCTCTGTGCGGACAGCTCAGAGCCTGGAGCCTGCTTCGGATTCTGTGTCTCCCTCTCTCTCTGACCCTTTCCCGCTCACATTTTGTGTGTCTCTCTCAAAAATAAACATTAAAAAAAATTTCTTTTAGAAGTATACACCGAAAAGAACTGAAGGCAGAGTCTCTAAGAGGTATTTGTACGTGCACGATCGTAGCAGTGTTATTCGCAATAGCTAGAACATGGAAACAACCCAAGTGTCCATCGACGGGATGAATGGCTAAGCAAAATGTGGTACACACATACAACAGAATATTATTTAGACTTATAAAGGCAAGAAATTCTGACACAGGCTAAAACATGGGTGAACCTTAAGGACATCATGCTAAGTGAAATAAGCCAGTCACAAGAAGACAAATGCGGTATGATTCCACTGATACGAGCGACTCGGAGTAGACAAAATCACAGAGACAGTAAGTAGAACGGTGGCTGCCAGGGGCTAGGGGAGGGGGACAGAAGGAGGGAGTACTGTTTAACGGGTATAGTGTTTCAGTTTTACAGTTTACAGTTTTATAAGGTGACGAGAGTTCTGGAGATGGGTGGAGGTGATGACTGCGTGCCATTATGAATGTATTTAATACCATCGAACAGCACACCCAAAAAAGGCAAGGATGGTAAATTTTATGTTATATGCATTTGACCACAATAAGAAAAAGAGAAAAGAAAACAGAAATGAAATACTGATACACAGTACAACACGGATGAACCTTGAAAACATTATGCTAAGGGGAATAAGCCAGAGTCAAAAGACCGCAGATTCTAAGATCCCTTTTATATGAAACGTCCAGGCAGGGCAAGTGTATTGTCAGAAACATGTGTCGTTGCTCAGAGCTGGGGGAGCTGGGAAAGCGTTGGGGGTGATAGCTGCAGGGTACAGGGTTTGTGTCTGAGGTGATGAAAGTTTTATAAAATTGACTGCCGTGTTTGCTGGTTGCGCGTCTCTATGAACATTCTAGAAACCAATGGACTGGACACTTTAAATGAGTGAGTTGCATGGGGAGTTCATTATATCTAATAAAGCTGTTATTTAAAAAAACAAAAAAAAAACTATACTGACATACTTCTTACGTATTAGGTAGACAAAAATTCTACAAGGTTGACCACATTCTCTGCTAGCGGGCCAGTGGGGAAGGAGGCTCTCTTTCACAACACTGAGGGAGATGCAAATGGTAAAGCCCCACGGAGGGGTATTTGGTGGTAACTTCTGGCAAATTTACATATGCCTTTACTTCCCCTGCAGCGCAGTTCCTAGGAATCTATCCCAAAGATACATTGGCAAGAATATGAACTGCCTTCGGCACAACATAGTCCCTTCGGCACGATTTCTATCAGTAAAACACTGGAAATACCCAGAGGTCCGCCAATGGGGACTGGGTAGACGGACTATGGTATATCACGCCACAGAACATTCCACATCCACAAAAGAAAGGAGAAAGATCTCTACCTACACGTGTGAAGCGATCTCCAGGGCAGACTGTGTAAGACAGGGATGTATCTCTGTGTTACTGATCTTTTCAAAAGGAAACACCAGAAGTACCAACAAGAAACTAATACAAATCGTTATCTGTAGGGACAAGGAGGGGACAACGATGGAAATAAGACTTCCCTGAATGTATCCTGTTAAACCAATTTGACTTTGCAAACATAACATGCCTTACATACTCAAATGGCTAAATCAAAAAGTAAAAAGAGCCATTTCTAAAAATCTAAAAATAAATAGAAGCAAATGAACTTAACTGTATATCAAGTTGATGACATAACCACATAGAGAAAATAATTATGTCAAGGGACCTTAAAAAGCATTATTTTGTCTGTAGGTCCCGAATGGAATGCATTCAGAAGACCAAAAGAGCTATACAAAAAAAAAAAAAAAAATCTCAGGCTTTAATCAAAAGTGTAATTGTTTAACATTCCCATGTAAAAGAAAAGTGACACACAAGTATCAGATCAAAGAACATTAAATTTGAGTTAGAAATATCACTATGAACTCATGATTTTTTTTCTTTACAAAAATAGCTGTCTTCTCAAAAAAAAAAAAAAAACCCACATATTTTCTGAAAAGGTTTAGAAGTAATACCAAAAATTAGCCACTACTAGCACTCATACTGTGGTCTCCAAATATCATTCACCACTGAAAGGAATTAAAACTCCATGGAGAAATTTGTATTCCAGGTCTGGGGTAGGAAATGATTCTAGAACATCTTGAATCTGAAAAGCCACTGAAGTCACACCTACAGGCCAACGTAAGGGGGCTGTCGTGAGCTGAAGATGGGACAATTTAAGCACAAAAAATAATGACTGCGAAGGATTGGCACATATAACATATTCAACAGTCTATGAAGTCACAGTAACAACAGCAACAACGACAATGATGATAATAACGTAAAAAGCTCAAGTATTGGTCACCTTTGCAGGTTTCTAAGGCAATAGCCCTTCATTCTGAAAAATGACGAAGGAAAAGAATTCAGCATCTCTCCTGCCTGTTCTGTACAGACTGCATTTCCGGGGAACTAAAAGAGTTGATTCAGGAAATTACTCTTTACAAAAGAATTTCAGCTATTCGGTGCATAAGGAGGACAGGATTTCACCATTTTGCAACCCCTAATGGAATAACAAATCCGGGCAATCATGTTCAGTGACTACTGATGTCATCAGGTGAGCTGGTGACGGGGAGCTTTGGAAGAGCAGGGGAAGGAAAGCACTGGAAAGCCAGGCGAGCGGAGCCTCTGTGCCTCCTGACGGGCAGCGTGGAGCACACAGCACCACCTCTGAAGTAATCCTGCCCATAAGAGTCTGCCGGAATCCAAACAGGCCTCCCGATCTACCAGTTTATAGGAAATGCAAAAAAATGGAAGAACAATAAATGACACCAAATCCAGAATATGGGAAATAGTGGCATTTAAAAAGGTAAATGACGTGGCGCACCTGAGTGGCTCAGTCGATTATGTGTTAAGTGCACGACTCTTTTTTTTTTTTTAATGTTTATTTCTTTATGAGAAGAGAGCGCAGGAGCAGGGGGGAGGCTCGAACTCGCAAACTGCAAGATCATGACCTGAGCCGAAGGTGGAAGCTTAACTGACTGTGCCACCCAGGTGGCCCAGTGAAGCGCCCCCGACTCTTGATTTCGGCTCAGGTCATGATTTCATGGTTCGGGAGGTCGAGCCCCACATCGGGCACTGTGCTGACAGAGCCTGCTTGGGATTCTCTCTCCTCTCTCTGCCCCTTCCAGGCTCTCGTGCATGCGCACTCTCACTCTTGAAATAAATAACTTTAAAAAAAACACAAAACTATTCAAAAGATAAATGATGTTAGAAGGTCAAACAAATAAATGACGTTAAAGAGGGAGAGGTGGGGCCGGTCCATCAACTGAAGAGCGGGAAGGAACAGAATGTGTAATATACACCAGCCCAGCTGGGCCCGGGGACAGTGCAGAGGTGGGTGAGCCTGGAAAACAAGCTCAGTGTAAGCAGGCACACAGAAGGTCACACCCAGCAGGATTCCATTGACAAGAAACATCTAGAAGAGGCAAATCTACAGAGATGGAAAGCAGGTCAGCAGCCTGGCCTCGGGCTGGGGAGCAAGCAGAGGGAACCGCTAACAACTACAGGTTCGGCTTTGGCGGACAAGAAAGTTCTAAAAACAGACGGCGGTGATGGTCACAACCGTGAATGCAGTAGAAACACGGACTGCGTCGTCTACGAATGGTTTGGCAAGTTAGCTATATCCCAGTAAAGCTGCTAAATGGCGGAGGAGGAGGTGTTCCCAGGCTGTTTTACGGATTTTTTTATAAACCGAATACAACACGTGGACTTTGGTGGACTAGAAATAGAACCCGATACCTATAGGAAATATTTTGGAGACAATCGGGGAAATCAGAACACGGACTTGGGAGGAGATCCTAATCTGCTGGGTGTGAGACAGTGGTATTTTGGTGTTTATGTTCAGAGAAAGGAAAGAAAGAGAAGGATGGAGCCAAGGTGGCAAACTCCCGATCGTTGCTGAATGTGCGTGACCGTCATTCGGGGGGTGCGCTTGCCCTTCTCTCGACTTTCTTCATTTTATTAAAAACAAAAACAAACAAACAAAAACAACCCTCCCAGAAGATTCTGACCTGCTAGAACCACGGTCCTACAGCGCGCCAGCTGGCCAGCTAGGGTCCCGCCCTGGCCGCCCCTCCGAGACGGCCGTCGCCACAAAGGGAAGCCTGTGCACCACAGGCCTCGCAGCCACCGCTTAGGTCGGGGAGCAGAGGTGGGAGGTCCGTGATGCACCGGTGCCAGGAGGGTCACTGTCAGGAATAAGGCCCCACTGACACGATGTGCAGCACACGTGCGCTTTACTTTACGTCTGCCACGCAGTCCTCACAATAACCAACCACTGCCGGCCCCTGTGGCTCTAAGGCGAAAGCCCTCCCCTCCCCCCCAACAGCCTGTGACCAGGCCGGCCTAGGACAGAGTGGGCCCCGCTTTGGGTAAAGGGGCCCGTGCTCCCTTCCTGGCCTCAGAGCACATCTGGAAAGCCCGTCCGGAGAGCAGGGCTCCAATTCGGTGTGCCCACCCCCCACCCCACCCCCACTCACCAGGGCTTGGCCTCCTGGGATGTGCTGCCTCTCTCTTACTCCCCTCCTCATGACCCCACAGGCTTTCAGGACAAGGCTCCTCTCCCCTCTCCATCTGGGTTAGGATGTCCGGTTTGGAGATAGCATAATCTGCGCACAGAATGGAAGGAGAGCTGGGTCAAGACTGGACACCCGCCACCCAGCTGCCCACAGAGATGGAGAGACACGGAGCAGAACAGAAGTCAAAGCGAAGACAGAGACTGCCCTGCCGGAGGCCAATCTGTGAACACAGATCCCCACCTACGCAGCCTTACCCAGGGACACCAGCATCTCGTAGTTGCCCCGCATCACGTGCTTGTAGAGCTCCTTCTGCCACTCGTCCAGCTTGCCCCACTCCGGCTCGGAAAAATACACAGCCACGTCATCAAAGGTCACGGGCACCTGGAACCACAAGCACCACGTGCGCTCACCCACACGCTTACGGGCACGCCCCGCGCGCTGTCCCACCCCCAGTGCCCGAGGGATACCTTGGGGACCTCCCCCTTGCTGCCCGGGGGCAGCCGCAGGATCCAGAAGTTTCTGTTTCTCAGCAGGTTCTCCATGTTCTCCAGCCGCCTCTGCAGCAGCCCGTACTCCTGCAGCAGGGTCCCCAGCACGGCCCACTTGCTCTCCAGCTGGTTCCCGAACTCCGCGGCTGTCTTCTCGCAGTCCGCCAGCTTCTTCTCCGCCGTCCCCGCCCGCCCCTCCAAGGTCAGCAAGCGGGCCAAGCAGGAATCCACTTTCTTCTCCAAGGCCTGGATGGCGGCCACCACCGTCCACAGTGTGATCTCCGTGGAGTACAGGTATGAGTTCTTCTCAGCAGCTGGCTGGGGTGACAGAGAAGGTGTCGAAGGGCTTTCATCCCCTGTTTGCTTGTCCCTCTCTGGAGCCTGTCCACACGAGAAAGGGGAGATGGTATCACAACGACACGATCAGGGGCGCCTGGGTGGCTCAGTTGGTTGAGTGTCTAACTCTTGATTTCGGCTCAGGTCATGATCTCACAGTTCAGGGGATCCAGCCCCACATAGGGCTCTGCACTGACAGTGAGGCCCCTGCTTAGGATTCTCTCTCCCTCTCTCTCCCTCTGCCCTTCGCTCTGCACCTACAGGTGCACACATTTTCTCCCACAAAATATATAAACATTAAAAAAATATACACAATCCAATGCCTCACAATAACACTTGCCCTGATAAAGCCCCGTCTGGGATCCTGAGGGCCAGCCAGGCAGCAGTGTGGGATGGGAGGCAGGGACATCAGTTAGGACATCAGTTAGTGTAGCCTCAGGGACAGGAAACACCGGCTGGACCAAGGTGTTAGCAAGTGGGAAACAGGAGAAAAAACATGGCCAAAGGCCTGGGTCTCAGGTGACTTCCACCTTGGGTCTTAGTCTCCCCTACAAATGAAGGCACAGGCTTTAAAGCACAGAGGACATGAGGTTTGCAGTGAGAGAGCCTGGGTGCAACTGGCAACTCCGCCCACTGACTTTGGGCAAGGTTTTGACACATCTTTCAACTTCACTTCCGCATCTAGACAATGGAACAATAATCGTGCTCAGGTGGTAGGGTGCTGAGAATTAATGACACAATCTTTGTTGAAAGCACTTAGCACCGCATCATATACGCAATACGCAATACAATACGCAATACGTGCATGCATGCCTGCGCCCTATGTTGATTCAGCTAAGATGATAATGATCAGGATGTTGACAATGATAATGGTTCTGGGCTCAGGGACACAGCATGAAACAGTTCTCATGGGCTTTTTTCTCCCCCTCTTGCATTTCATCACCCTTCGACACCCTGGGAAAGAGCTTCTTTTTTATTTATTTATTTAGAAATTTGTTTTTAATGTTTCTTTATTCTTGAGAGACAGAGACAGGGCACGAGTGGGGGAGGGGCAGAGAGAGGGAGATGCAGTATCCCAAGCAGGCTCCAGGCTCCGAACTGTCAGCACAGAGCCCGACGCGGGGCTCGAACTCACAGAACACGAGATCATGACCCGCACCGAAGCTGGACGCTCAGCCACCCAGGCGCCCCGGTGTGGAATCCGCTTCCGTTCTGTGAGCAGATTAGGTTATCTCTAAACCGGACATCCTAACCCAGATGGAGAGGGGACAGGAGCCTTGTCCTGAAAGCCTGTGGCGCCTTAGCTCAGCGCCTGGTGCACAAGCCTTTCTGGAGCACAAGCCTTTCTGGAGCACGTGCGTGCAATGGCCTGGTCCCGGTACATGGTGCTAAAAGCCTTTGTTGGAAGGATGAACTGACCTCTTGCTCCTCCAGTTCACTCCTCCTTCACGGCCAAACCACCATCAAGTCCTATCCATTTGACTTCCAGACTTAAACCCATCCTCTTTGCTCCCTCTCTCTCCCCTGCCATCACCCGGTCCACCCAGACAGCTGCTGCAATGCTAATTTCCCCTTCTCCTCCATACACTTTCCACAGAGTAGTCAGTAAGCATTAAAAAACAGGCTAGACCATTTTAGCCCCCTGCTCAAAACTCTCCAACAGCTTCCCAGCGTACTTAGAACAGAATCTAAGCTTCTCAGACCTCAGCCTGCCCCCCCGACCTCACTTATTTACTACACTCCGGCCACCCCGGCCTCCTTGGATTCCTGGGACACATAACCCTCCTCCATGTCGGCTTTGGCTCTCCCTGCACCTCTCCGCGTCTGGCTTCCTCTCATCTTTTTAAATTTTTTTTTTTTTCAATGTTTATTTATTTTTGGGACAGAGAGAGACAGAGCATGAACGGGGGAGGGGCAGAGAGAGAGGGAGACACAGAATCGGAAACAGGCTCCAGGCTCCGAGCCATCAGCCCAGAGCCTGATGCGAGCCTGACGCGGGGCTCGAACTCACGGACCGCGAGATCGTGACCTGGCTGAAGTCGGACGCTTAACCGACTGCGCCACCCAGGCGCCCCTGGCTTCCTCTCATCTTTAAGGCTCCAGCTCAAAGCCCCATGGAGACCTTCGCCGACTAACACATCTAAAATACGCCGCGGTGGGTTCCTTCTTTCACAGCACTAATAACCCGTGATGATTCTACCCATCTATCTGTGTTATGGTTTCTTTCCCCCAGAACATGAGTTCCCGAGAGTGTGTTTGTGATTCCCAGTTGTATTTCCGGCTTCTAAACGAGCCCCTCTCTCACCTCGGATGCTCAATTAATACCTAGTGAATGAATGAAGGACTACACAATGAAACAACATTAATTAACAGTTACTGAACACCGGTCCTTGCAAAGGTGCAAGGTGGGAATGCAGAAAAAATGATGTGGCTCTTCCTTCGCCAGGAGAAAAATTCCGTACAGAAACCGTCATGATAAACAACAGTATATGATGGGCTAACAAGAGTTGGGGGCAACTCTGTCCTGTTTGGGCAGTTTCTGGGGAATCTCAGGTACTGTATGATGGCAGAGGGAAAGGAGGGAGTGGGTAGGAATGGTCAGAAAAGGTTCTGAGGCAGTGGCCCTGGGCTGGGTGGGAGCTGGCGCTGTCACCAGTGTAGTCACAAAAATGCTTTCGGGGGGG